CTCTTGCTTTTCTGCCTGAAAGATCACATATGTTTGCTTTGATTTTTTTTAACTCCTGTTTACTGCAGACTAGTGGCTCATTATATGGTGCATTGATAGGTTCAATTTTGGCTTTTAATGTTGCTGACTTCCTTGGTTAGTTTAACTATGAATTTCAGGCTTGAAGATTGGATTAATAATATTATATTTCCCCTGCTTAATATCTTGATTAATAATTGATGTACAGGAAGAAGAAGAGAGTTGATTCTTTCCTCTACATTTTACCTCATTGGAGCTCTGGTGACGTCCTTAGCACCTAATTTTGCTGTTTTGGTGATTGGGCGTCTTCTTTATGGTATCGGAATTGGATTGGTAAGAAATCCCAGGAAATTTACAACTTCTGCAATTACTTATGCTTGACCATAGTTTATGTAGTGTGTGCAACGTGGTTGCCCACATAACTAATGTAACACCCTACCTAACATTGCTCAAGGGTTACTTTTCCTGAAAATAATTGTCTAGTTCAAAGTGAACTCCTGCTGTCTAATGATTCAAAGATTTAGACTAAAATAGGGCAGGTTTGAAATTGCTAGTTGGACGTTGATGCCTGAATTCATTACAAATGAGTGAACTTGTTGCTATTGGAATTTCGGTTTGTATATCATTTGTTTTCTCCCCATTAATAGGCAATGCATGCTGCTCCCATGTATATAGCTGAGACAGCTCCAAGTCAGATACGAGGACAGCTAATTTCTCTCAAAGAATTTTTCATAGTCCTTGGGATGCTAGTAAGTGTTCCCTACTCCCTCTTTGGGCTGCCTTCAGTTTTTTGAATCGTATCAACATATTTATCAGTAAGTGACTAATAAAGGGTTGTAAATTCTGATGGCTTAAATATCTTTATAGCTGGGTTATATAGTTGGTAGCCTTTTGGTTGAGACTGTTGCTGGTTGGCGTTACATGTATGGAGTTAGTATCCCTTTATCACTTATAATGGGGATTGGAATGTGGTGGCTACCTGAATCACCTAGATGGATTCTACTACGTGCCAAACAGGGAAAAGGAAATGTTCAAAGTTTAAGAGAAAATGCCATAACTTGCTTGTGCCGTTTAAGAGGTCAAAATATCAGTGATTCAGCTCCTAAACAAGTAGATGAAATTCTGTCTGAGCTTTCTCATGTGCGTGAAGAACAAGAAGCAAAAATAGCAGAAATGTTCCAGGGGAAATGCTTGAAAGCTCTTATAATAGGTGTAGGCCTAGTCTTGTTTCAACAGGTACTCTTCATTTATATTGGGCCTTGCTTCATTTATATATTTCACATAGTTTCAAATTTTTGCTCATATCTGTTGCTCTCTTTATTGCAGATAACGGGGCAACCTAGTGTATTATATTATGCTGCAACAATTTTTCGGGTACATCTGCTGAATAGCTTGTGACTGTGATGTAAATTTACCTTGAATATGACATGATTTGGATCTGACAGGGTGTTGATATAGTTTACTATTCTAACCTTGTTCCGCATGATAGAGTGCAGGATTTTCTGCAGCATCTGATGCAACAAAGGTCTCAATACTTCTTGGGTTTTTGAAGGTAAGCTGATGGAGAAAATTCATAAAGTCCTCTTTTCAATTTTGACAAAAAATTCAGGTGTTAATGTTACACTTACATTCAAGAATTTGATTCCGCCTTATTCAGTTATTTGTAATATTAAATCTTATGCTTTCATCCGCCATGAGCATTGTATTGTTCTTTTTATTCTCTCTCTAAATTTGATCTCTGTTGCTGTAGCTGATTATGACTGGAGTAGCAGTTCTGGTTGTTGATAGATTAGGGAGAAGACCTATGTTACTTGGTGGTGTTTCTGGTATGGTAAGTTATCCTCCTTAATTATAGTTGATTCTTTTTCATGTGCCTCGGCACATTTTCATAAACGAAATCCTTCTTTTATTGAATCCATTTCATCACCTTATACATGATGATGCTGCTTAAAACAACAATCAAAACCAAATTTTTTAATATCATGCTTTATTTTGAACATGTGGCAGGTAATATCTCTATTTCTTCTGGGGTCTTATTATACTTATCTAGATAATATACCAGCTGTGGCTGTTGCTGCTTTGCTGTTATACGTTGGATGTTACCAGGTATTTATAACCCTTTTCTTTTCTTTTCTTTTTTTTTTTGGGGAATAATTACCTAGTTTGTGTGGATGCATTCTTTTGTTTATTTAAATGCAATTAAAATGGCTTAATTTTAGTTTGCCAAAATAGGATAGCATTGTCACATACATTTGCTATAGGAGAAGTACCAGGTAAATTTGTTTTTATGAATCTCTCAAGAAATTTCATTTG